AACCAGTCCATCCTAAAGGAGATCAGTCCTGGGTGTTCATTGGAAGGACTGATGCTGAAGCTGAAACTCCAGTACTTTGGCCACCTGATGTGAAGAGTTGACTCATTGGAAAAGACCCTGATGCTGGGAGGGATTGGGGGCAGGACGAGAAGGGGACAACAGAGGATGAGATGGCTGGATGGCATCACCGACTCGAAGGACATGAGTTTGCGTAAACTCCAGGAGTTGGTGATGGACAGGGAGGCCTGACTTGCTGTGATTCAGGGGGTCACAAAGAGTTGGACATGAATGAGTGACTGAAATGAACTGTATAAAGAAAACACAATCATTTGGGCAATGTCTAAGGTAAAATTTTCTTCATCATGCACAAAATTCAAAGTGAAAATTAACAATGCAAAGAAAATTGAGGGACAAAATCTGAAATAACTAAGAAAACAACTTTTCAGGAATCACTGTGCATCTTAAAACCAGTGCTGTGCCTGGCACACAATCTACAGGTATTCCGTAAATGTTTATCTAATGAATCAACAAATTTCATTAATTTACATATAGACATATGAATAGCTTCGACTAGATGATTCCTATAGTCTTTTCCACATTAAAATTCAATGATGTTCTGATAACAAACCCTGCTTATTTCTTTACTAAAATCATATTGCCTGAGACACTAATTTCTTACAAGGTGGGTCTTTTGGTATAATTTGAGGCTCAAAATACTATGTTCATTGATAAAAAGGAAAATATCTCAATAAAAAGATAGGAGCTGTCAAGAGAAAAATAGTCTATAAGAAAGAGCAAGGTGGAAATTCTAGAGTTAAAACTTTCAAAATATGAAATGTAAAAACCACTAGGTAGGCTTACTGTAGAATAGAGATGACAGAAGACAGAGTCAGTGAATATGAAGATAGGTCAGTTTGAAATATCTAATTTAAAGATCAAGGAGAAAAAAGACGGATGAAGAACATGAAGTGAGACTCAAGGACCTGTGGTACAATATCAAAACATCTAACCCACATGGAGTTAAAATCTTAGAAGGGGAATGGGAGAGAGAGAGGGAATGAGGCAGAAAAAAATATTTGAAGAAATAATGACTGAAACTTGCTGAAATTTGGTGAAAGACATAAGTTACAGATATAAAGTGAAAGTTGCTCACTCGTGGCCAACTCTTTGTGACCCCATGAACTATACAGTCCATGGAATTCTCTAGACAAGAATACTGGAGTGGGTAGCCTATCCCTTCTCCAGTGGATCTTCCCAACCCAGGAATTGAACCAGGGTCTCCTGCATTGCAGGCAGATTCTTTACCAACTGAGCTATCAGGGATATAGGTATAAGAAGCTCAACAAATCCTAAGTAGGATAAATATGAAGAAAGCCACGCTTGGGCATAAAGCAAAATTCCAAAAGCCAAAAATCCATAGAAAAATCTTAAAAGTAGTCAGAGATAAATGACATATCACATCAAGAGAACAGTAATTCAAATTATTGTTGATTTTCATCAGAAATTGTGGAGGCCAGAATCTATAAAAGACTGAGTAAGAGAAAGAAAAGAAAAAAAATTCTTGTTAAGTCAGAATTCTTTATCCAATGAATATAGCCGTAAGTCATAAAGCAAAATAAAGACATTTTAAAAATAAAAAGCAAATAAAAGAATTGACCTATACTATAAGAAATGCTAAAGGAAGTTCTTCAGGCTGAAGGGAGTGACACCAAACAGAAATGTAAAGTTTGGAATAAAAAGCATCAGAAATGGTAAAATCTGGGTTTGAAAAAAGACAGTTTTGCCTTGAATTTTTAAAGGACTATATGAAATTGTTTAAAGTAAAAATTATAGCATTGCCTCAAGAGTTTTATAAATTATATAAATATAAAGATAGGGAGCAATAAAGGGACCTTCTATTTGTAGCATTTCTACATATTATATGAAGTGATACAGTTTGAACTCCAGGTAGACTGTGACAAGTTAAGAATATCTATAGCAATCACAGAACAACCACTAAAAATGGAAAGAGATATAATTAGAAATCCAAGAGATGAGATAAAATAAAAAATTTTAAAAATTTCCAGTAATCCAGATAAGGCAGAATAAGAGCAGAGGAAGAAAAAACAGATGTGACAAATAGTAAATAAATAATAAAATGGAAGACATATCCAACCACTCCAATAATTACATTATATTAATGGACTACCACTCCAGTTAAGGGGCTTCCCTGGCAGCTCAGTGATAAAGAAGCCACCTGCCAATGCAGGATCCCAGATTCCTCCTGGGCCAGGAAGATCCCCTGGAGAAGGAACTGGCAACCCGCTCCAGTATTCTTGCCTGGGAAATCCCATGGACAGAGGAGTCTGGTGGGCTACAGTCCATAAGTTTGCAAAAGAGTCAGATATGATGTAGCAACTAAACAACAACTGTAATCACTCCAGTTAAGTGGCAGATATTGTAAGAATGAAAAGAAAGAAGGCTCAACTATAAGGGATGCATTTTAAATAGAAATGCATAGAAAAACCCAGGTTGAAAGTAAGTGGATGGAAAAAGATATACCATGCAAGCAATGAGTAAGAAAGCTACAGTGGCTAGATTGATATCAGATAATGTAGACATTCATATTGATGAAAGTCAGTTTATCAACGAGACTTAGAAATCACAATAGTATACATATGTTGTATTAATACTTCAAAATATTAATACATGAATCAAAACTTGACGTAATTGAAAGAAGTAGGCAATTTCACAATTATAGTTGGAGATTTTTCACACCCATCCCTCAGCAATTGATAGAGGAACAAGTCAGAAATTCAGTAAAGACATAAATTCTCTAGAGTTAATTATTACTTATGTAGTATTACACCTAACTTCTGAAAAACAGACATTTTTTCCAAGTGCATTTAGTATGTTCATCAAGATAGACCATGTAAAGGGGCTATAAAAATTAAACAATACTTCTAAATAATCCATGGGTCAAAATGTTTTGAATTTGAGTTCTGCTTTTGACAAAATATTCATGACCTTAGACAACTGATTTTGATTGCTCAGTCTCAATTCCTTCAATAAAATGGAGACACTAACTCATAGTTTTTGTGAAGATTGGACAAAATAACATATGTAAAGCACTCAGCACAAATCCTGGCATAGTAATACTACTTAATTCCATTGTCCACAACTGGGAGTCATTACTGAAGGTGTGCAGATATATGTACAGGGTCTCCTGCCACTTCCGTCATTCTGTTTTTGAATGTTATCCAAAGCAACTACACCACATCATTCCATCCACATCATCAAAGGAGATTTAACTTTTATCTCCTTATGCTACACCACTACTGAAAGCTGGGAGATTTATGTAGGTACAGAGTGCTGTTACTTGATTACATATCTGAAGTTGAGGATAATGCCCCCATTCCCATCTAACCTGAGTTTTGATGGTCCCAGAGCAATGATTAAAGAGATGCCAGAAGTCCGTCTTCTACAACTCGTAATTTGAGAGTTAAAGTTCATCACCCTGGAATTTCATTTTCCAAATATCAAAAACTGATTGTGGGGGTGGGAAGAGCCTCAAGAAGGAGGGGATATAGTATGTGTATATATATATACACATATATGTGTGTGTGTGTGTTCAGTGTTCAGTTCCTAAGTCTTGTCCAACTCTTTGCAACCCCATGACCTGCAGCACATCAGGCTTCCCTGTCCTTCCCTATGTCCTGGAGTTTGCTCAAATTCATGTCCTCTGAGTTGGTTTTGTTAGAACTCTCCACTGTGACCCATCCATCTTGGGTGGCCCTGCATGGCATGGCTCATAGCTTCATTGAGTTACACAAGCCCCTTTGTCACGATGAGGCTGTGATCCATGAAGGGGATGTGTGTGATATATATATATATATATATATAGTTATGACTGATTCATAATGTCATTTGGCAGAAACCAACACAACATTGTAAAGCAGTTATCCTCCAATTAAAAAAAGTGAGAGATTAACAGACGATGTCAAGAACTGTGTGGAATTTTAATGACCTGAGCTTTTAGTGACCAAAGCAGAGAAAGCAGTGGAGGTGGTAAGAGTCAGAGGTAATCATGGGCCATGTAGGACCTCATCCACCACACTAAGGGTGGTGAAGAGCCACTGAAGTGTTTACGCAGGAAGATGGCCAGATTGGCATTTTAGAAGGATCCTTGTGGCAGATGGATTGGAGAAAGCAAGACTGGAGGCAGGGAGACCACACCTCTTAAAACTGATACCAAAACAAATCATTTTCTTTTTCTACTTCAAAAAACCCCCAATTTTGGAATATGAGGAGCCATTATCCAATTCTATTTTTCATCCTAATTCCATTGTACAAACTCAGCAATGATCTTCATTTGTTTCTTAAAGTATCTCATTTTAAACATAGGTAATAATAATTATATCACAGGAATATTGCTGTCTAATTCTAGTTTGTCAAAAGCTTTAGGATCTTCAGCTGGAAAGGGGATTATGGCTGCATGCAGTACTGTCTTGGAGAACTCTGCATCTTGCTTCATTGAGTGGAGCTAGTGTCTGTGTGTAATCAAATTAACCACACTGCTAGAGCTTACACTGTGATTAATGAAGCCAATGCAAACTGATTGACGTGATCAGTCTATTATTTTTAGACTGAATAATTAAGCTTAGAGAGTGTCAGTGTTTTTTCAAGTAGCTTATTTTTTCAGATGACTGTTGACATTTTAGTTTTCAATCTTCCCTTATTCTGTCAGTTAGCTTTGTGTCAACTTATTTCATGTCACGCAGATTTAATTTTCAGACAAAAAATGTTGAATTTTTATAAATTTTTATTTTAAAGAGTGGAACTAAGGTCCACCTTAAAAAACAAAACAGAACAAACTCAACATAAAGAGGAATAGAACACATTTTACTAAAGTTCTACTAGTCATTGGGTACCACATGAGCACCTTAACATATGTGTTCTCATTTAATTTTTTTCCTGACCACACAGTGACGTTGGTATAATCCCCATTTTATGGATGAGGTAATAGGCTTGGGTGGTAAAATAATTCATTGCAGGTCACAAGTGAGCAAGTGGCCGGGCTAGTATTTGAACCCAAATCTCTCCAATTCTAAAACTCACACCACAAATAGCAGAAGCCTGTGCCTACAAAGTGTGCAAAAAGTGTGTTATTTGGGGCCTTGGTGACACATACCTTCAGTGTCTTGTTGTGTCTCTGCAGCTCCCGGCACAGACTCTCCAGTTTGCTTCTCGCCAGGATAGCTCTGCTGTGTTCACTTTGTAGCTGGTCCTTTTCTTTTTGGATCTGTGCCTGTTTCTTTTGTAGGAGTTTTAACTTCCTTTGCTCAGTGCGATGTTCATCCAGCTAGATGTGGGGGTGCAAATGTGAAAGAAAATGGCAGGAATCTCTGTTGAGTTGATAGGAGCAGAAGAGGAAATGCCTAAAGACCACCCTCTGGTTGTTCGGAAAATTTGTTGCTATTATCACTGCCCCCTCTGGAGTCAAATGAACTTCATGAGTGTTACCATGGCAATACTTGTAGATATGATTTAAAAGCATAACATTTATAGGTTTTTCCTTTATCATTATTATTATTGATCTCTTTTACTTTGATCTTCTTTTCAGTAGTCTAGAAACAGTTTTATCTTTCTTGAGTCTAATGAAGTCAGTATAGAAAGGCAAGTTTCAGAATTTATGATAATGCATTGCCGTAGGAAAATGGTCAGTGGTGTCTGCATGGTTTACATTTAAATTTTCACAATTCTTTCTCAAAACAAGCTTTAGCAGCTATTTTTAAAAGTAGAAAAGCGAAAAGCAGCTAGTAAACAGAAGGTGAAGTGTGTGGATTATGAGAAGGGAGAGGAGCATGTACTCCTCGACTATTTAAGGACTGATGACCTATCCCCAAAGTTTCCGAAATAGCTGCTGCACAACTCAGCAGCATGCAAGGGGAGTGTCGGTAACAAGCCGTGCTCTCTGCCCATCCCCACACCCTCCTTGCTTATGGCGAGTAAATCATGACACTTACTTCTGCTGAGCGCAGGTGGGGCCTCCTCTCAGCAGCCACATTTAAAGTACCGAGGGCAACACGGAAAATGAAACCAATGGACCCCTGGGCTTTTTGTCTCAGGATGCTAAAGTTCTGAACTAGGGGTTGCCAGGCAAAATGTAGGACACCCAGTTGAATTTTAGTTTCGAATAAATAGGGAATAAGTTTTTAGTAAAAGTATATTCAAAGTATTTCCGTTTGCTGTTGGTTTACTTGAAATGCAAAGGTAACTGGGCATTCTGTATTTTTATTTGGTAAATTTGGCAACAAATATTTATGGAATTCTAGTTGGAATGGGAGAGTGTGGATTCAGCCTCCCTCATTCCAACTAGAATTCCATAAATATTTGTTAATATAAATTAAGCCTTCAGAGACTGCATACTGGGAGTAGGACTGGGATCTGACAGTGTGACCATGAGCAAGCTGGAGCCTGTTTTTCAGAGCCATTTCCTCCACTGGACTGCGTTCCCTTAGAATCTGAATGGTGCGTAAGCCAGGTGGGTACTCCCTGTGATAATTATCTTGTTGGCCAATGAGGAGGAAAAGGCCTGGAACCTCGTGGGTTCTTCCGACTGCAGGTGCCCCTGGTGTGTCTCAGAGCCAGATACAAATGGATACACACACACACACACTGTAAGCCCTGATATGTGTCTTAGTTAGTTACCTTATCTTGAAAAAGCATTTGTTCTTTCTGAGCTGGGTGAACAGGATTGTCACACTTTCTTCAGTTCACATCTTATTTCAATCTTTTCCTCCCTCCCTCCCTCCCATTACACTGAAATGTCCGTGGTAAACCTTTGCCAGATTAAGCTGGGGATATTCATTCATGATATTCTATCTTCATACTTATGTATGTTTTTACTTATTAGTGAGTGTTATTAGTACTTATTAGTGACCCAGGAAAAACTAGGTCCGTATTACTGTAAATATTAATTGAAATTGGTATCTTTCTTGAGGTTCAATTGGAAAATTGATATTTTATTATATATTTATCATGCTAACTTCATTTTGCACCATAGTTATTAGATATGGATGAAACTACTTGTCCGTGTGTGTGGACTTTAAATGAGCTGTTGTCCTTTCTTGAAATGTATGTGTTATTATTACTGCTGTTGCCATTTTGGTTTAGACTTTTCCTTTGGAAGATTAAACAATGTGTCAGGGTTTCTCAGCCTTACCACTATCGACATTTGGTGACAGTTCTTTGTTGTGGGGCTTGTCCTGTGCACTGTAGGCTATTTAGCAGATCACCCCTACCCACTAGAGACCAGTAGCGTCCTCACCTGTGATATCCAAAATATCTCCAGAGACATTGCATGTTGTCCCATGGTTGGCAAGAATTTCCCTCTTTGGGGTAACACTGCCCTATGTGGATTTATCTGAGCATCAGGAGAAGGATATTTGCTTATGTTTCGTAAGTTGGGAGAGATGATTTGTGCTTGCTCACTGACCATTTAAATGTTCTAGTTTTACTGAAGGATCATACACATTTGAAATATTGCTAGGTCTATCTTGCTTTGCTCTAAATAAAACCCCTTAACTTTCTGACAGTTCTTTTTAGAGTGTGACTAATTTTGTTCAACTACTTCAAGTTTATGTGATTGCATATGGTGTTTCTTAATGGATGAAAGCAAACATTACAACTGAGTCAACTTCCTCTGTGATTTAAAAATACATTTAAATTCTCACAGGCATATAGGATTTTTATCTGCAGTTTCTCTTGCTCTCTCTCTTTTTTTTAATCATTAAGTTAAAAAAGTGGAATTAATGCCAAGTAGTTTTTGATGTTGTAACTACTTATATATTGAGGAAATTTGCAAAAATATTTCTTCCAGGTAATTTCTTAATTTAGTCATGATGTGTCCTTATTTATTTATGAACTTATTTACTAATAAAATATGGTTGTTGATATTACAGGATTTAGAATCTGTAAGGGTGAGTGAACTTGAGTAGCAATGTGATTCAAAGCTTTTGAATTTAACAATTTACTCTATGTTAACACTTAAATTCCAGACACTCTCTATATTAATTTCTGAATCAGTGAGTAGGGACATAGCTTTTAGTCTCCAAGTAAAAGACTGAAATTCTTCATAGGGATATGTAATAGGGTTTTGAGGTCAATTTTCTCCTATTTATTTTTTCTAGAATGATCTTTTGAGTTTAAAAGTTTATTATAGGATATGATACAAATGCCAAAGTATAGTAAGTCCGAGCTGAGTAGAATTTCTGGAAAAAATAACCTCTGTGGGATCGACTGCTTGGCTAGGAGGATAAGGGGGTTTGGGGAATTCTTGAAGTCCAGAGTGAACAGCCCTGGCTCATAAGAAAGATCTTGGTCAGACTGGATAAGTGATTCTTTTTTGATGTACTGCTGTGAGGCTACAGCAACATAAAGAGTAGTAGTCTGGAAGATGCCCAGTTCATCTAAGTATGGGGCATGGTACTAGAAACTAAATATGAATGGCCTTGGTGTGAATTAGTAAATTGAAGGGTAAATTAAAGGGAAATCAATGTAGTAATTATCAAAAAGAGCAAGGACGGACCAGTGAGGGTCCAGATTTGGGGGACCAGATGGGGTCAGATTTGGGGGGAAAATATTATGTTTGACACCTACTGTTTTATGGCGCTGAAATTGTTCATGAGTGGTTAACAGCCAATATTAAACAAGTTGCAGTAAAATTGATACACTAATACTTGCTTTAAAAATTTCTACCATTCTTTTGGAAAACAAAATGGCCATTAAAAACATTTATACTGCTTGATTTAGTAATCCCAATTCTGGAACTTTTCCCTTGGATCATAAAAGAGAAGGAACAAATCTCATGCATGATGATGTTCACTGCACCAATATTTGGTAAAACAAACAACGGAAGGAATATAAATGTCCCCAAACTAGAGAACCAGTAGAATAGAGTCAATTAATGGAAAATTTCATAGCTTTGACAAAATATAATTATGAAGAATACATGTGAAAATGTTTGTCACATGAGCTGAAAAACAGATACTAAATTCTATGCACCTAATGATGGTAGGTATACAAAAGGTATCTTTGTATAGTAGAACTGAAAAGGAAGACAGATAAAGCAGCATTCATGTTTTAGATTGTAGGAAAAAGAAGAAAATTAAAAAAAAAAAAAAAAAGAATTTTTTCTTCAGGGCTTCACAGGAGCCTATGCAAGTGAGAGGCTCTGACTCTTAAGCTTTTTTGCTGTGAGGTAAATCTGCCTTCAGGGGCAGTCCAACCTACTGCCAGGAGGAATTGTTTTGTTGTGTGTGGGGGGGCTGTCACTGCTTCTCTGAAAGAAAAGAGTAAGTGGAAAAAAATGAGAGAAAGAAGCCGAAATGAGAGAGAGGTGGCATGTTGCCCAGCCCCACTTGAGAGGACACCACATCTCCACAGTGGGTCTCGTACACCTCGGGGCTGGTGCATGGACCTCAGGTGCAACCCCTTTAGCCAGTTTTTGTGAGGCTTCACTGAAACTAGTGGTGCTGGCTTTGCTGAGCCCTTTTCTTTCTTCCAAGTGGACTATTTTAAGAGTACTGGTGAGGAGACCATCCACTTCATGGATTCTCTGAAGTCTGGGAGTGGCTTCTCTTCCAGCCATTGGCCCTAACTTGTTGAGAGGGAGACTGCATGTGGAGGATCTATAACTGGAAACAAAATCCATGTCAAGTGCTTTGCCATTGTGGGGGGCAGGAGAAGAATGTAGATCATGGAGAATAAATGAATGAATGAATGCATTCATCAGGAATAAATGAGAATGTTTCACAAACTGAGGGGTGGAATTAAGTCAACCTCTGCCTTACTTGAGAAGACCGTTCCCTCAAAAAACCTGTGCTTAAGAACTGGTTGAAAGTTTACTTTTTATTTCTAGTGTACTTCTGTTTTATTGCAAAGCCAAAAAGAACTTTTAAATTTTCACAATTTTTAATTATCTCTGATTTGCTCCTCCATTTCTCAAATCCTGCACATAATTGAAGGTGGAATGATTCCAACTCTGTTCTCTTTCTTCCTTTCGCTTTTATTCCTCAGTTTTTCTGTTTCTTTCTTTCCTGATATAAAAAATTTCCAGATTTAAAAAATCTGCCTTTGTGAATTCTGATTTTGACTTGCCTGAGGTAACCAGTCAGTCTATAATGATGTACCTGAAAAGCTAACAGCCTCCTTTTCTCAGCTCTAACCAGAGCTTAAATCTTTCTGGCAAAAGGGCTAATCAAAGAACTTACCAATTCAGCATATTTCTTGAATAAAAAATCAAACTTTTCCTCAGGAGTTTGCAACTTGTTCAGATTTTGCATTAGCAGGTTGGCTTCTTTGCCTTAAAAGAAAGCAAAAACCATAAAGACATTTTAAAAATTAAGAGTTGAACTTGAAGTCAGATGATGAGGGCTGGAATCTCAGGTGGTCTACTTGTGCTGTCGCTTTGGTCATGTGCGACTCTTTGCGACACTATGGACTGTAGATTGCCAGGTTCCTCTGTCCATGGGATTCTTAAGGCAAGAATAGTGGAGTGGGTTGCTATGCCCTTCTTCATGGGATCTTTCCAACCCACGTCTGTTTGTTAGCTGCTATCCAGCCTTGGGCAAGTCACTTCACCTATCTGAGATGCAGATGTAAACTTTTTTTTTTCCCTTTGAAAAGGAATGACACCTACTTGGCAAAATAAGTGATTAATTGAGAAGTTTATAAAAATGTGTTGTGCAGTGTCAGGCTCAATGTAGATTCTCAATAAATGTTGACTTTAAGAGTAGTCCCCACATTTCCATCCCAATAATTCGTTCTTAGTTACTTCCCCTTATATTCTAAATATTCCAGGGAATTTTGAACATTCTGAAAATATTCAAAAGAATAAAAAACCACTGACTTTATGGAAGAGTGGATCATCCACTTTCCCATGTTAATTATTTAAAAAAAAAAAAAAAGGAAGCAAATCAGCCTATATCTGACTACTATAAAACAGTTGGCATTAATACCTGGAGCTGTAAAAAAATCCCAGCCCAAAGCAGATAAACTTGACAGTTTAGTCTGCACATGTTTTTGGTTTTGTTCCTTTAGTGCCTCTTTCTTTTTTGGGGAGGAAAACCGATTGTCTTGTTTCTGTGTGTGAGCCCATTTCATGCAGTTTGGGTGGGAATAACTCTGATCATATTTCCTATCAGAGAATAAAGTCAATATATAGAGAAAATGGACCCAAGACATGCAGGGCCTTTTCCGCAGGCCTTTTTGTGTCTCTTTGGTTACAAGTTTAGCCTCCTGGGTCTTCCCTTCTCCCACCTAGACCTTAGTTTCTGCTGGCAGTTTCATCTTCTGTTCCCAGTTGGAGTTTATGTTATGTTTAAAAACTCATCTGTTCATGATTATTTGATAGTGAGCCTTAGATTCTTTCTTTCCGTTTCCCATTGTTCTTTCTTTTGTCTTTTGAGCTCAACCTCCCAGTTAGCCTTCCTGAGATGCTTGGATCTTTGGTATCCACAGGGATGCCTTTAGATCTTTCAGTATCCATAGGGTTGAGGGTTGCACGCAGGAGCTGGACCCTGAGGCCTACACACATGTACCACTGAATGTATCTTTGCCAACAGTAGGGTCAAGGTGGAGCAGCTTCCCCATCCTCACCTACCTGTTCTAGCTGCCCTGTCTAGTCTGAGTAGAGAAGTCAAGCCACCCAGCAGAGCCTCCATTTCCTGATATAAATCTGCTTGAGAATGTTAACAATTTTGACAACCTCTCCCACAAGAACAGGCATTTCTCCTTTGCTGGAATTTTTGCTTTCATCCTGGAGAAGCAAATATATCATGGAATTAGGGTTTCCAGGTGAAATATAGGACATGGGACACTCTTATACTAAAATATAATGGTGTCTCTGAAATTTAATGTTCCTTGGGTGGCTTGTATTTTCACACTTGCTAAATCTGGTAACTCTAATGGCGTAAAAAAATTTTAGGTTTAGGAGGAACTTCAAAGAGCACCCAGACAACTAGTTAGTTTTATAGATTAAGAATAGAAAGCCCAGAGAAGCCCACAGTTATGTAATTAGCACTGGCAGAGCCAAGGCTTGGATCCAGGGTTTGTCTACTTGTTCTAAATCACTCCACTCCCATGTGGAATTTTGATGCCAGGGAAACCTAGAGAAATAAAAAGAAACTTCTTTTGAAAAAAGAAAAAAATGACCTCATTCCTAACAGCAGGTTTCATCTATCTTTGCCCAGTGAGTCAGTTCAGATTAGAGACATGGTCTGAGACGGGGGAGAGGGTGGGGGTGAGTGGTGCCCAACCAGCAACCCAATTATGGCCTGTGGCATAACATTGCCTTTAAACTGATAAGCTCTGCTGTCCCACCCCAACCAGGCTTGGCTTTGAGTGATTTCTGTAGCAGCAGGGATGGCTTGTGTTGGTCTGGCCATCCCTTCGCCCTGGTCTTCAGTTTGTGGAAGGCGCCTACATAATGGCTGCTGTCCTGGGTTACAGGATCATCCATTAAAGGCAGGAGACTGTACTGTTGATCATGTCTGGCCGAGCATCCTGTATAGTGTTTGGTCCATGGCAATTGTTTAGTGAATCTTGGTATAATGATGGAACTAAACAGAGCCAACCTGTGCACACTAATATCATGTAAATCAAATAAACACTGTCCAGAACTTTGTGATCAACTGGAGGAAAGACAGGTCTTACTCTCACCTGTGACCTGTAATGTATGCTTAGCATAGCTCTCAATGTGAGTATCAACCAGAAAACCATATCGTGTTTCTTTTGGGAAAGATAGAAACACTTGAGTGAGGGCAGTGGGTCTCTTTTTCTATGTTCAGTATCTTCTCCCCCTTTAGTTTTTCTAACAATGAGAACAGTTTTTTTTTTAAATTGTCACACTTGCTGAGGTCTTTTTCTGCTCTCATATTCTCTTATTTTGTATAGAAGTTTAACATTCAGATGCATCAATCCACCCTTCAAAAATGATTTCTAAAAAAAAAAAACTAAGAAATTGGAGACAAACATGTACATAATCCATTCTTTGTAACATGAGAGAGCTTAGTTTTTACATGTTCATTAAAAGTTTGCTGGACTAAAGTGCTGTGTCATCACTTCATGGGAAATAGATGGGCAAACAGTGGAAATAGTGTCAGACTTTATTTTTTTGGGCTCCAAAATCACTGCAGATGGTGATTGCAGCCATGAAATTAAAAGACGCTTACTCCTTGGAAGGAAAGTTATGACCAGCCTAGACAGCATATTAAAATGCAGAGACATTACTTTGCCAACAAAGGTCCGTCTAGTCAA